TATACAGGCAGATCATACCGTACAAAGTACATCAGGGTAGCAGAACAAAGTGCAGTACAGCTGCAGGGAAGGTGCAGAGAGAGAGAGAGATAAGAATTAATATTTAAGAGGTCTGTTCAAAAGTCTGATCACAACAAGGAAGAAGCTGGTCTTGAATCTATTCATACGTGTATTCAAACTTTTATATGTTCTGCCTGACAGAAGAGAGTGGAAGAGAGTATAACCGGGGTGGGAATGGTCTTTGATTAAGTTGGTTGTTTTCCTGAGACAGCGGGAAGTATAGATGGAGTCAGTGGGTGGATGACTGGTTTGAAAGTGGGTGGCCTGTGCTGAAAGGTTAGCTGCCACTGCTGGCAAGAAGAGAGTGAGGGATGCAAAGTGGAGTGGAGCGAAAAGTTCAGGATCTTAGAGGATGAGAAGTCATAAAGCTAGAAGACGGGTCAGAGACAGGGAGGAGATGCAGCTATGAGAGAATTTAATTGTAGAACACTCAAACCTGATTGACATGTTGGATGTGTAATGAGGCCTCCAGCAGTAGATGGTGACAGTGAGGGAGGTCATCGAGCAGGGCAGCTAAAGCAGCCCAGAGAGAGCCTGCTGAAAAGAAGGTGCGTCTTCGGGAAGAAGGAGTCCTCATGGGGAGAAGGGTCAGACTGACTGAAGTCCTCTCAAATAGAGGCAAACCACAGGCTTAATTCCATGTAAACTCTGTGTCTTTCTTGTTTAACCTTGATTTCCCTTCATATTTATAATGACCTGATGACATTGGAATTAGGAATCAGTGCCTTGGGCCATCCATGTGTTCAGATCTTGTCACAAAAGAACAAAGCAACAGAGTACGGGATTGAGGATAAACATGACTGACGAGTGTTATTAGCAATTGGATATGAAATGGCTGAGAATAATCAGGGTGACCTGAAATTTATAGAGGGTGGATAATTGAAGGCTAACCAGCTCAGTATTAAAGTAATTGAGCCTGGTGGTGATGAAGATGTAGGTAAAGATTTCAGCAACAAACAGATTGGGGTTAGACTTGTGGAAAAGCCAGATAGCTGGAAGTTGAGTTGGGATCCAACAGGATGCTTAGATGATGAACATTTCTCAACAGTGGTCAAGTGGGAAGATGATGAACCAGTGGAGGGAGCTAAAAATTCAACTGGAGAAAGCTGCTGCTCAAACATTTGTTGTTGCCTGGAGATGGGCTGCTTCATCAACAAGCCAGAAATACATTCCCGGAGCAATGTTCCTGTTTAATACAAATTTAGTTTTATTGAAGGGGAAAGATTGGAGTGGAGATGAGGAGTTATTTTTGACAGTAGAGGAGCAAGTGCTGGACATAAGCTTTTTTAGGATGTTGGTGTTGCTGACTGGGCCAATATTTATTGCTAATCCCTGATCACTATCTTCGCTGAGTGGCTTGCTAAGGCCATTTCAGAGTCAGCCATGTTGCTGTGAGTTACGTGTAGGCCAGAGCAGGTAAGGATGGCAGATTTCCTTCCCTGAAGACTATTAGTGAACCAGATGGGCTTTTAATGACAATTAACAATGGTTACATGGTCACTTGCTTTTCTATTCCAGGCCCTCATTGATTCAAATTTCATCAGCTGCCACAGTGATTAAAGAGCAAATAGGGTGTTTAAGCTGATGAGACACCATCCCTTGAGGCAAGGAGTAGGGAATATTTTTGAGTAAAACAGTTTGCTAAGTGTCAAGATAACACCGCGTGGAGCTGGAGGAACACAGCAGGCCAAATTTTCTGAAGAAGGGTCCCAACCTGAAACGGCAACTTTCCTGCTCCCCTGATGCTGCCTAGCCTGCTGTGTTCCTCCAGCTCCACACTGTGTTATCTCTGACTCCAGCATCGGCAGTTCCTACTGTCTCTTGCTGAGTGTTGGCCTGGGAAGGAGCTTTTTCCTTGCACCTGTCACAGAAAAGCCACCGTGGAGTCTGTGCCGGGGGCGGGAGGTCATGCAGGGGCCCGGAAATCATGAAATATCCAGCATTGGCCTCAAACTTGAAGTTGAGCAGAGCTGGGATCGCCAGCGGGCTGGAGGTTCACACAGAGTGGGCACAGCCAGCGGGATGGGGACGGCCAGCAGAGTGGGCATGGCCAGGGGGACGGGGACGGCCAGGGGAATGGGGACGGCCAGCAGGATGGGAGCGGTCAGCAGGATGGGGTGGTCAGCGGGATGGGGGCAGTCAGCGGGGCAGGGACGGTCAGCGGGCAGGAACAGTCGGCGGGATGGGGACGGTCAGCGGGACGGGGACGGTCAGCGGGGCGGAGGTTCACACAGAGTGGGGATGGCTAGTGGGATAGAGGCCTGAGTGGGCCGGACAGTTGTCAGACTGGGGACTGGTGTGGGTGGTCACCAGCTTGCGAGCCCGGGCTGACCACATGTGAAAGGCCCCTGCGCTGGTCTACTGAAAGCCTGTAATGCTCATCTTTTTAACTTTATTCTCATTTTTCTAACTTACAGTGTGAACAACAGTGAGTAATGTTATCTTTTTCCTTCATTTCTGTATTTGTATCTAAGGTCTGTACCTAGATACTTTGTACCTGAGATGGCACCATATGGAGCAACATTGTAAACTTTTCACTGTATTCCTGTATTTCCATACTTGAGAACACGTGACAACAAAGGATATTCTAATATTCTAATGTTCTAATATTCTAATGTGCATCTTCTCGAACTGAGAAGGTGTGGAATTCCCACAGCATTTGCAATGTTCCATTCTGACCAAGAATTAACAAACTTATTGTGTATGTCTGTGTGACAGGTTGATAGGACTGAGAGACTGCCTGAGCCCCAGGCTTGGTAATCAGAGTGTGTAGTCTTCACCTGGTAACTGAAATGCAGTTAATTTGTGGATAGGTGTCTTAACGAAGAGCGATTTAATCCAGAAAGAGCAGTGCAAGTTTATTTTAGACTATATTCTGATTTGCCATGCCCCTCCCCCTCCCAAACTCCCCCATATATTTAGTTTTCATGCTGAATCAATATTTCAGCTTCAATTACAATTTGAAAGAGAAACAGTAAAACAACGTGTGTGCTCTTTGACATTTTGAAACATTGCTGCCTGTTTGAATTACTCATGGTGAAGTATTTTGTGGTTCAGTAATTAAAATATGATTGTACTATTTGACATTTTTGACATAAGTCAATACAGGTTGTGTTTTGTATACATTTCCGTCCATTAAAAATTGTGTTGGGAGTGTAGGATGGGAAGGGAATTAATCAGTAACACCAACTTCCTGTAAGAAAGGTCTTCTGTAATCATTTCAAACTTAATTCACATATATGTGTGTTGCAGGATGTTTCATTCCATTGTCAATTAAAAGGAACATCACAACAAGGCACACAACTCCTATTCACAAGGAAACATCCTCTTGATTTGCACCACATCTAAAAAAATTCACTCCCTCCACTTCAGTCACAGCAGTGTGTACCATCAATTCACCAAGGCCATTTAGACAGCACCTACCTTCCATACTTACAACCATTTCTATCTAGCAGGACAAGGGCACAAATATTTGGGAACGCCACCACTTGCGGGCTCCCTAACAAGTCACTCACTATCCTGACTTGGAAATATATTGGCTGTTCCTTCTGTGTCTCAAATCAAAATCCTTCAGCTCCCTCCCTAACAACATTGTAGGTTGGCATACACCAAATGGAGAGCAGCTCACCACCACCTTCTCAAGGGCAACTAGAGACGGCAATAAATGCTGGCCCAGCCAGCAACACACACTTGCCATAACTAAATTTTAACAGATGGGTTTTCTCTCTTGTGTTTCCCCTGAAATCTGTCAGATCTCAGGGAAGTCATCAGGCAGCTGTGGATGTTCACGATGTTTGAGATCAGTCATAACTCATGTTATGCTCAAATTCAGAGTCCGGACACCTATATGAGCTGCGAACATCGTTCTCATTTCCATCCCAAATCTGGAGCGTGAAGCTCCAAGTAATTACTTCACCATTATGTAACCAGCACTTGGTAAAAAAGAAAGTGCTCCAAAATAACCAAACAAAATGGACAGACATCCAAATACTACTGACAAACAGGGTTATCATTTCTAGTCATTTAGTCATACAGAACTTAAAGATTGCTAAAAAATGGATGCATATCATCAAAGCTTTTTATCTTATTACCAACAGGGCACTTGCAAGAAATACAGCTGATTCACATTTTATGCTGTGGACTGGAAATCACACACATTAATACACAGTTCTTTGCAGGCAGAGAGAACATGATCACACACAGTTCTTGTTTCCTGCTCTTCTTGCAGATTAAGATGTTGTTGACCTTTACACTGGTATTTTTGCAAATCGCAAAGGTCTGTGTTAAGTCCCACCCTCTGCGCAGTGTGTCCCATGTCTGACGTGATGAAAAATATTTACAATGCAACTCCAGCACCCACGCGCCACCCCAAGTCACTTTGAATTTCCACTGTTCCCAAACTTTTACCATTCACGCAGCACCCTGTCCAATGGATCCACAGTGCATATTTGCTCTTACTGAAACCCAGTTGTCCACTTTGGCATCATCAACCAATATCTGACTGCAAAGGTTATTAAGGAAACATGAGCACACGTGCGAGCGGATGTGTACAATGCAGCATTCCCATATTGGTGACTGCTATCACTGACAGAATGCTGCACCCTCTGAGGTGCTGGTCATCCATTAGATCGAGTTATCCTCTCAGCTGTGTGCAGTAGATCCGGTGACCCTATTTTGAAGGAAAATGGGGACATCCTACCTGGTGTCCTGGACATTATTGAGCTCTGAAAGAATTTTTATTGCACACTGCTGTTTTATACCAGCTTGCTTTGTTTTAAAACTGGGGTCATGCTACCAAAGTGACAGAACCTTTTTTTAAAAGCGATGAGGTGTCATTGGCTGCAAAACACTTTGGGATGTTCAATCGTCACAAGAAATGAAGTGTGTGTTCTTTATTTTTGTCTTCTCCTCATTGGTCTGCGTTTGCTGTTATTTTTCAGGGTAAGACGGTAAGGGTTATTACAGCCATTGATCAAGACCGAGGGAGACCACGAGGTATTGGTTACACCATTGTCTCAGGTAAGAGAGTTAACCATGCCTTTTCCTTTTTCAAGTCATGTTCATTATTGAAAAGGACAAGGAAACTCAATTTTGAATATATAATGAAAGCCAATTTGAAATCATGTGTAACAAACATAAAAAGTGAGGACTGAGTAATAGAGCCTGCTGGGTATTAGTAACAGTATAGATGAGAACAGCTTGTAAATGATACATGTTACTATTTCTAAGTGAAAATGCCTCAGAAAACATTAATTAAACCTGATTGTTGTGACAGGTATCCAGCGGATTTTTTTTTAATTGCTTACATTTCTATGGTCTTGTAAGTTTTGCAGCCTGATTTTAGCGTGTGGAAAGGTACCTTTGGTTATTTTGTTAGGAATATCAAGCCTCTGGAAAATGAAGAGTGAATAGATTTCATACAGTGAATGTACAATCCTTGCATGACGATATCACTGTAATTTGTAAGATTTTATCTAAATTCAGGTCTGGGGATTTCTGATGTAACGCTGTCAGTCAGTTACTTTTTCAGTGAGGACAGCTTCAGGGAGTATCTAGGGATTGGAACCAGGGCCAGGTGGATATCATTGACTATGAGATCCTTGATTGGGCTTGTTAACCTGGGCCAATTAGGGAGTCCTGGCTGATAGTTACAAGCAGGAGATTCAGAACATCATCTCAGTCTAGGCTCACAGCCCGTACACTTTGAATGTGTAAATAAAGGGTGACTGGTGAGGGATACCGGCCTCTCTCTAGTTATTTAAGAGTGATACAATTCGTTGCCATTGGACACTTGAATGCAGAGGGTTCTTGATTTATTAATGTCCGACTTACAAGTGCCCGTACTTGCCCTATATAGGGGTGTGATTTTACAGATCCTGTACGTACAAATGGCTTCTTTATATTGTCCTGCATTGTGTTTTGACTTGCATACAATTCAACCTGTGAACGGACTCCAGAATAGAACGCATTCATGACCCAGGGATTGCCTGTATTCAGGCTTGTTTCTGACTGGAAAGGAAAGAGACTAAACTGAGGATTTTGATCAGCAAAAGCCGAATGATAGTCGCTTTGTTTGTAGCTGATGGGTTCCTGTCTGTAATGTGTGGCATTACCCAACTTTGAAGGAGAGCCCTGATAATCCTGCTGCACTATTCCAAGAGCTGTCCTAAAATCCCAGTGGAATCACCAAAATGACTAATTTGCTTACTATTCTGTATAAAGTCAATTCACACCAGGTTTCATCAGTAACAGAATAAATAATTCCATTTATTGTAACTCATTTAACTTTAAAAGAGCAGTGAAAAAAGAGGATTTTAATTTCTGCAACTTAAAATATATCTCTTCAAAACGCCAAACATGCACACAACCCAGCATGATAAGACAAATTATTTAACACTTACACTATGCGGGTTAGCAAAGAGAAAGTTGACAAACTAAACAAAATTCTGAAGATCAAATTTCAACCAAAGGTAGAAAGTGTTCCTTCACAATTCGTTTGAATTTTGCAATGACGACATTCAATTCGATCAGCTGAACCTAGGCCCTTTCTTGTTTTAGAATTGTTCCTTTTAGCCTTGTGTTTTGTTTTGTCTGGATGTTACCCCAAACTGTTGGGAGTGAGAGAGAGAGAGATGGGTGTTTTCTAACTGCAGACTTGAAATGTTTCTTCTCTGCTGCTCTTGGCATTTGCAACTCTAGACCAACTGCAATGTGGTTGCCTCTTAACTGCGCTCTGAAATTATTGAGTAAACCGCTCCATTCAAGGGTAATTATGGATGGGCAATAAATGCTAGCCTAACACATTCCAAAAAATAATTATTAGGTGACTACTGCAGAGAGGGGAGGTTTTATAGTATATTGTAAGATACAGTGGCATAGTGCTTATATTATTGGCTGATAACCCAGTGGTTTGCACTAATGATGTGAAAGGTATGGGTTCACAATCTACCACAACTTCTAGAGAATTTCAGTGGACTAAATAATATTGATACACAAAAGGAGTACCAGCAATGGTGTGCACACTCTTACTGGGTGGTCACTAAAATTCCATCTGGTTCACTAATACTCTAAAGGGAAAGAAATCTGCCATCCTTATCTGGTCTGGAATATATGTGACTACAGACCCACAGTAAGATGGTTGACTCGTAATTGGCATCTGAAGTGGCCCTCGCAAGCCACTTCATTCAGGGGCAATTAGGGATGGGCAACAAATGCTGGTCCTGCTGAAGGGCAATCCACGGCCTGTGAATGAATTGAAGGAAAGATCGTTGCATTGTACAGGTTGTGAATGAAGCCATTCCTGCCAACGTAGAATGTTGTGCGGTGTTCAGGCATAATTACCATGGCGGGGGAGGATTGAAATTATCCAATCTTCCCCCATCTTTAGATGGAGAACTGGAACTGTCAGCAGGAAATGTTTGGGGACTCATCCTTTTGAATGACTTGAGGAAGCCACTCAAGGGAACTCATCTGAACAGTTTCTCTGTTTAACTTCTTGATGGTGAATTCAGAAGCTGCCTGTGTTTTAATTGGTTGAGGAGATCTGATTTGTTCCTGCTTACCACAACAACTTGTTTTGAATCCTACTTGGTGGTTTGACCTTTTGGAAAATGACTGATATTAATCATTGTCTGAGGAGACTGAGGTATATGATGGAACCTTACAAGCACTGCTTCCCCAGGGCACACTAAAATTACTTTAATCACTTCAGTTCATAAGAATTGTGGGCTTACTTGCAGGAATCAAATTTTATACCAGGCATGAATTATCACACTTGTGTTACAATAAGCCATTTGCTTTCCATATGGTTGCAGAGGCAGTGTAATGGATTGAAGACAACAAAATGCTGGAGATCACAGAGGTCAGACAGCATCCATGGAGAGAGACCAAACAAACATTTCGAGTCTAGATGACTCTACATCGGAGCTGAAGTAAAGTGTGGAGGGGACAGCAGAGATGCGATAGTTTTAGTGGGTTGGGGTTTGGGCACTGGGGGTAGTGGGTGCAGGGTGCCGGTGAAGGAAAGATGTTGATAGTTCAGATTAAGTGACTGGAATGTGAGAATGGGAGAACAATGCCAGACTTGAAAGGATAGTAAGTGGGATTGGGGGGAAAGGAGGACATGATAACAAGCTAAAAGAAAGGGAAGAAATGTTCACAGTTTGAAGGTGTTGAACAATATTGAGCCCAGAAGGCTGTAAAGTGCCTAATCTGAAGATGAGATGTTGTTCCTCCAGTTTTCACTGGAGCACTGCCGCATGCCGCGGACAAACAAGTGGGCAAGTGAGCAGGACGCTGTGTTAAAATGACGGCTACGGGAAGGTGGGGGGTCATGCTTGCGTACAGACTGGAGGTGTGTGCAAAGTGATCACCCAGTCTGCATTTGGTTTCTCCAATGTAGAATAGGCTACATTGGGTGCAGCGAATACAGTACACAAGATTGGAGGAGGTACAGGTAAAATGCTGCTTCACCTGGAAAGACTGTTTAAGCTCTTGGATGGTGAGCAGGGAGAAGGTGAAGGGACAGGTGTTGCATTTTCTGTGGTTACATGGGAAGGTGCCGTGGAGAGTGGGGGCAGTTGGTGTTGGTAGTTGTGGAATGAACTAGGGTGTCCCAGAGGGAACGATCCCTGCAAAATGCAGACATGGCGGAGGGTTGGTGGTGTTGGGGTGGTGGTGAGGGGAAAATGTGTTTGGTGGTGGCGATCTGCTGGAGTTGTCTGAAATGGCGGAGAATGAACCTTTGAATGCAAAGGCTGGTGGGATGAAAAGTGAGGACATGGGGGAGCCAATCACGCTGTTGTGAATGACAGGGGGTGGGGTGGGGGGTGGGTGGCAGTGGAAGCACGGTGATAGGTCGGATGTGGTTGAGGGCCCTGTCACCCACAGTGGGTGGGAAACCACGGTCATGGGAGAAGGAAGCCATGTCCACAGTGATGTTTTGTAAGGTGGCATCATCCAAACAGATGTGACATAGGTAAAGGAAATGGGAGAATGGGATGGAGTCCTCCCATTCCTTCCATGGGGTGTGATGAGCTGCAGTGAAGCACCTGCCCCTTCACCCACTTTCTACTCACCGTCCAACGGCCTAAACTTTCCAGGTGAAGCAGCATTTCACCTATACCTTCTCCAATCTTGTATATTGTGTTCGCTGCACGCAATGTGGCCTACTCTACATTGGAGAAGCCAAACGCAGACTGGGTGATCACTTCGCATACACCTCCAGTCTGTACGCAAGCATGACCCCAACCTTCCTGTAGCTGGTCATTTTAACAGCATCCTGCTCACTTGCCCACTTGTCTGTCCACAGCATGCTGCAGTGTTCCAGTGAAAACTGGAGGAGCAACATCTCATTTTCAGATTAGGCACTTTTCAGCCTTCTGGGCTCAACATTGAGTTCAACACCTTTAAATTGTGAACCATTTCTTCCCTTTCTTTTAGCTCATGACCACCCCTCCCCCCATCTGACTTACTATCATTTTAAGTCTGGCATTGTTCTGCCGTTCTCACGTTCCGATCACTTAATCTGAACTATCAACATCTTTCTTCATCACCACTCTGCGCCCACTACCCCCAGCACTGCACCCCCCTTCACCCCTCCGAAACTATCACATAAGTGCTGTACCCTCCACACTTCAGCTCTGATGAAGAGTCATCTCAACACGAAACATTAGCTTGTAGTCTCTCCATTGACGCTGCCTGATGCCCTCTGCTCTCCAGCATTTGTTGTCTTCAGTACAGATTCCAGCATCTGCAGCAATTTATTCCCACAATGTAATGTATTATTATTTTCATGGGGTTTTGGCCGGTGACAGATTATGTATCCAGCCATCAATTCAAGCTGCTGTTGTCTTGACTTTTTTTTTGTTGGGGAGCTCTGTTTATTCCAAAAGCCGTGCATCATGTCAATAATTGGGTCCTGCTCAGAAGGAAAAGCAATAAGACTGGCGAATGAGACATATCAGAACAACTCATCTTCTATACGTCAAAATGTGGCCCCAGCACAATCAGTACATTCA